ATTATAACATTATGTAAGCTTCAGGTGTTTACTGTGGATAATCAACCTGTGCATATACTACCTCAGGGTCACCCACCTCTAAAAATCCAAACCCAGATAATAGATGTTAATGAGAGTTAGTGTGATGATTATTTTGCACACCTGAAATTAATTAAATGTTCTATGTAAATTGTACCTCTATTAAAAAAAAATAAAAGGGGAAAAATTTTATTAGAAATAAAAAACCTGTAACCATAGAACTAATTTGTAACTGCTGATTCTTGTAGAAGGTTGCATTGTCTTCCCTTTCTGTATTTGAAAAGGGAAAAAATTCATTCCATAAATGCATTAGAGTTATCACCAAAGTACCATAAAACCCAAGGAGCATAGTTTAAGTCACATAAAATGTTGCTGGATAATTTGTATTGAAATGGACATTCATACAAATGTAAAATCATCATTACATCTTACTGTTACCTCTTAGAAAAAAATCCATTATCTCAGCATACACTAATTGTATATAGTTTGGGGAGTTGAAATTACTGTTTTGATATATAAAAGCAATGTTTAAAAGGTCTTTGGGAAGTAGTACTATAATGGGGTGAACTCAAAAATACTGTATTTGACTTATTTTTGCCACAGCTTAGCTGTGGGATCTTGAAGAAGTAACGTTTTTTTCTGGAACTCATTTTCCTTGTCTAAATCTCTTTTATGATTGTTTCCATTCTAATTTACAATGCTAAATTTTATTTTTGTCTTCTGATACAAAAACATGTTGTAGGGTAAGGAAAAATGTCAGGCTTTTCTGCCCTCTCGCCATCAGGACAGATGATGGATCCTTGCAGTGTCCTGAATGCATGCCTGATGGCGGGCACCTGGAGTAGGGTGTGGGCATAGGTAGATGGGGTTCACCTGGGCTGAGACTGGGCTTTTAAGGGCGGCGTCACGGGGATGCCAGTAGAAGCCGAAGAGATGCAGAAAGGAAGATGAGAGCAGAGAAGCAGAGAGAACGCCAGAGAGAGTGCGGATTTGCTGGGGCCTGGGAGGCCTGCCAGCCTCTCGGCCCCCCAGCACCACCGCCTGTTGTGTACCTGGTAAATCCCAATAAAAGCCTGCAAAAAACCACTGAGGACTCTGACTCCTCCTTTGCCGGGTCTGCTGGATCAGGAAACCTGCACTGTGTCATTTCTGCTCCTGCACATGTTATTTAAGCATGTGATACAAATATTTTGGGGAGCAATTATAGTATTGGGAATCATTAGATAATTCACCCTGGTGGCGCAGGAGGTTGAGCGCAGCACTGTGAAGCTGTCCGCAGCCTCTGTAGCATGGGTTTGATGCCTGGCTGGCCAGGGAGATACCCACATGGTGCAGCAGACCTCTCCTGTCTTGCCCGCAGCTCCCCTTAGCAGTGTTTTCAGTCCGTCTGCCTGTTCTGCTCCCCACTGTGTCTCTAGTGAATTCTCTTACCTTCCCATGTGTAAAGGGCAGGAATGGACACAGTGTAGGTTTTCTGATCCAGCAGACCGGGTAAAGGAGGAGTCAGAGTCCTCAGCGGCTTTTTGCAGGCTTTTTATTGGGATTACCAGGTACACAGCAGGCAAGGGTGCTGAGAGGCCGGGAGGCTGGCATTCCTTCCAGCCCCCAGCAAATCTCCACTCTCTCTGGCGTTCTCTCTGCTTCTCTTCTTCTCAGCTTCTGCTGCTGCTGGCATCCCTGTGACGCCGCCCTTAAAAGTCCAGTCTCTCAGCCCAGGTGTACCCACTTCAGGTGCCTGCCATCAGGCATGCATTCAGGACCACAAGGTTCCCTCATCTATCCTGATGGCAGGAGGGCAGAAAAGCCTGAAGCCTTTTACCTACCCTACACCATGCCTCTGGTCTATTCCCCAGTTCTTGCAGGACTCAGTGGACTATGATGGAAGATTGTTGGTGCTTTGGTGGTAGATGTGGTGTGATATCATGCATTTAGAGAAGTGTGAACCTATACCCTTAAATGTATAGTATTGTATACCAACTCTATCTCAATAATAATAAACTTAAAACATCAGTAGGTATTCCAGAACTATTTTAAATAAACCAGTAAATAAATGAATGAATAGCATAAACTCAGTGAAGCTAAACAAAGCTTATAATTTAATTGAAAATTGATGATTTTTACTTCATTTATGTATTACAGCAAATTCTGTGTATGAGTTTTAAATTATGTGACTTTAAACATATATACCATGGAATATTACTCAGCATTCAAAAAAGATAAACACATGCAATTTGCAGCAACATGGATGGCGCTGGAAGGGATCATGCTCAGCGAAATAAGCCAGAAAGAAAAAGAAAAATACCAGATGGTCTCACTCATAGCAGGAATCTAGAAAACTTAAATAAGGGACCAGGAAAATGAATAAGTATAAGAAAGTGAAAATCAAAATCAACAAAAAACTATGAACCAGAGACACTCTATGGGGGGTAGGGGGCAGGAGGGGAGGGATTGGGGTCAAAATAAGGGGGTTGCAATTGTATGGGGAATATAAAAATAAAATTTATTATAAAAAAATAAATTATGTGACTTTAATTGGACATTATTTTTAAACTCTACCTTTCCAAATTTTCTGACCCACTCACACACTAACTTTCTACAGAACTAGAGTTTTAAAAAATTACTGAAGGAAACTGACTAGCTAGCAAGTATTTACTTTTCACATTGGCATTTTATTGGCCAATTGACATGCCTTGACCCACTCACTAAACAATCTTGGGCATGTTAATTCTCCATTTTGGAACCCTGGCTCTTTGAAAATTGAAAATAACAATGTTGACCTATTTTGAGTATGAAACAGCTAACATAGTCATAAAGTTCAAAATTCATCAGTTAGTCTGTGGAAGGTTTATCTGTAATATTAATCAGTAAGAGGTATTTACTGTGTTGCTTCCTTTAGGGAAAATTTCTGGAAATGAAACAGTACCAATTAAGAAGTACGGGTTTTTTCCATTCACCATTGCCAAAGATTGTTTTGGGGAGCAGGGTTGTTGTTTAGTGTGGGGGTTTGCTCTCCTAATTTTCTTCAAGGAGTTTTGGAAGTAATATCTTTATCCTTGTGGGGTATCTGCTGGGTAGCTTACCCTTCAAGATTATTTTCATGATACAGTGAAAGAAATAATGAGGAGGTGAGAAAATTTTAAGTCCAGAAACAGGTTCTTTGTGGAAAAAAATTTAGCACTAGTTCTTTTTTTCTTTTTTGACAATTGAGAAAGAATATTTCTGGATCGTTATTGCTAAATTTAAGATTAGACACTTTTTGAAGGCCTTATTACAAAATTATGAAACTATTATATTAAAAAAATCTGCCCGTTATAAATATAATTTCTAGTTTTGTTTAAAAAAAAAAAGGGAGTCTAAGGCTAGAAGGCCTCCTCTTCCTTGCAGATTTTACTGACTGTGGTAATTAATCTTAACATCTGTTAAGGTCACTTACCTAGTGAAATAATAAATTATCAAATAGCAGGATCATAAAAGAGTGACGATTGCCCCTATGTGGTACACCATATGGCCCAATTTAGTACTACTATAAGAAATGCCACATGCTTGGTATACAACAGGCTTAATATAGCCTGGATTAGCAAGAGTGGGATTCTGTCATGCAGTGGAAGTACAAAGTTACAGAGTATAATGATAAATTTTGGCTTCACAAAGATGAAACTATTATCATTAGCCATTAATTGCGAAGGAACTTAAATCTTTTCAAATTAAAATCATGATGGATTTTAATCACTTGGTTAATGTTGGTAAATGATTATGCCTTGAGCCATTACTATAATGATCATTATTAGCAAGAGTCTGTTTTCACAATGCTTCTAGTGTTTAAAATTAATCTAGAAGTCAAGAGCCATTAAATCGTTTCACCTGCAGCAAAATTTAAAAGATGCGCATATTTCACATAAAAGCAATTTAAAAACAAAAGCCAAGAAGAATGCAATGGAAAAAGACGCACGAAAATTAAGCTATTAACTGCAGCGCCACCAAGTGACCAACCTCAAGATTCCATGGAGAAGCAAAAGGGCAAATACACCAAAGAAAATACAGATATAGTATAAACCTCCAGTAGATGTTCGTTATTGACTTATAATGGGTCTCAAAACTCTAAAAAAGTCAACTTCTAACTCTCTAGAACTACAAGGTTTATCTGGGAAACCTCAGGAGTCTGCAGTGGATTTTCAGAGAGCCTGCAATTTGCAGAACTGGAAACAGAAATGTAGATTACACCTTTAAACAGAGGGTAAACTTTAAAATACAAGAAAAAAATTGTGCTTGAGTGATGTGAAAGGTTGGCCATTACACATACCACATGGTGTCATCTTCCAGCTTGAGGAATAAAGTGTGAATATAAGGTAGAACTACAGTACAAACTTTTTAGTTATATCTCCTATATTTGAGAAATCTCTTATCTGCTCCTTCGTGTCAGGTTTCATGTCCATAGTGTTGGAATCATACTAATTGTTTTCTGAAGTCACTTACCAGACTGGAAATGCTATTGCAAAATCACTTCAAGGCACATGGCTCCACAAAGTTTATATAAAAATATGCACATGAATGTTTGTATAGAATGCGATTGTACTGTGGCAATCTTATTGGTAACATATCTAAACTGAAGTAAAACACTAAGAACTATTAAAGGAAAAAAAGGGTAAAAATAGGAACATATTAATAAATCCAGACAAAAATCAGAAATAATCCTTAAATTCTTAAAGATTATTAATTAATTTATGAAGTATATCTAAGTTTCCAACATGTCAGCCATGGTTCTAAGTTCTAGGAATAGCATTATATCATAAATGTTGTTCTTCAAGTTGGGAAGTTATCATTAATAGGAAGGAGTTTTAAAATAATGATGGGCAGTTGAAGATGAGTTGAAAAAGAATGAAAAATTAGATTAGTTTCCAATGTAAAATCATTTCCATTTATAGAGTAAAATATCTGACCCCACCCTAATGACCTGTCCCTGAAAATGCTGTTTCTCACTTTAGGACAAGTATCAGACACTGAAAACCAACCAATCAACAACCAACAAAAATTACTAAGGAAATGATGAGCTTGAATGACTAATGGAAACAACCAAGAGGAGCTAAATATAAATTATCTGACTCTATAGTTTGAATTGCCAGGTCTAAAAGCAGAAAACTGATACGAAGGTCAGTATTGTTTTCCAGTGCACAAAGAGATAACCTTGGGAGTGAATTGTAAGAAAAAAATGAGAAGAGGAAAATCTAGACAGTATTAAAATTTAGAAAATTTAGAAAATTTAGACAGGGAAAAAAACTTCATATCAGAAAAAATCATTTGTTTAATATCATCACTTAGGGGAAATTTTACAAGTTCCACTCGGTCTGTTGGGAGCCCACTGACTAGAGCTCTGGGGCATATATTATTAGCATCCCAGAAGGACAATGGGCTGGTGCTGCTTCACAGTTTCCCGTTTACACTCTGTAAATGCTAAGGCAAGGAGGGGAAAATCATAGAGAGGGAATGGTCAAGGATAAGCAAGTGTGTTTTAGTATAATATGGACATAAATTATGGAGGTTTTCAAAATTACCAAGTACTCAAACTGTTTTCTGCCTTCACTTGTTTATCTATCATTGTTTGATTCAAGGGGGTAAACTGATCTACTACTACTTTCCTGAGGAGAGAACTGGATTCCAGCATTTAGTGCCACTATCTAGACATCATACAGGAAATGTTATTTAGGTGGGGGGGGGATTGAGAGGGGAGTGGGAGTAAATGGAAGAGGAGGAGCAGGAGGAGGAAGAGCAAGGAAGTCAACACTTGCCAAACAGCATTCAAATGACATCTTCTCTTTCTCCAGTCCAGAAATAAGGAAATCATGCAGAAAGTCACCTGGCTAAGGTGAGTTAGTTAAACAGCATTCACTCTTCTTTCCTTTGACTTGTCTATACCCTCGAGTTCCATTACAATGACCTCTAAGGAATGAGAATGTTTCTCATATTGTTGGACTGGTATAAACTGTAAATCATCACATACTGTGCAGTCACTAATTATCTTCTATTGCATTTTTAAAAGGTCAGGAAACAAAAAAAGCTCTGTTATTTCAATAACCACTTTTGGGTTCTGTAACTGGGCACCTTTTCTTGGCTTCCACTTTGAGCAAAGTACTGCTTGGAGGTTGGAGCCCAGTCATTATTTTTATAACTTCTGCTTGGTGAGTAGACTGGGGCTCTTTTAGTTACTTAAGTGACTTCTGACTTTGACCTTCTGCCATGTTCCTCGACTGACAGTTGGCTGCATTGTTTTTTGGTTTCCTGGTAGTTTTGTTACTTCTTCTAGACCTAGGCTATGACCCTGATGTTGATTCATAGAACTTTGCTCTAATTTTTGCTTTGATCTATGGAGTCATTTTAAAAGTATGTTTTAAGGGGGCCTCCCTGGTGGTGTAGGGGTTAAGTCTCAGAGCTATCACACTGTTGCTGCTACAGCCTGAATTCAATTCCCAGCCAGGGAGCTAATCCATATATGGCACAGCAGACCTGTCCTGTACTTCAGTAGATCTGCCTGTTCTGCTCCCCACTTTGTCTCTGGTGAATCCTCTTACCGCCTGCACCTCTGGCCTATACCCTAGTTCTTGTATGTCTAAATAAATAAATAAAAACGAATCTTTAAAAAATATATGTTTCAGGTTTAATCTGCTTAGTTCTGCTGGGAGAAAAGCTCTACTTTTAAGACCTGTGTCTAAGAATTTGTCAAGTAAAAACAAATTCTTGTCTTTTGTCATTTCAAGTACAAATGAATCATTACAATATCTCTGCTGAAGCAATACAGTTTAAATGATCATTAAGCATAAACTTTAGTTGTTATTAGTTACTCTTATGGATAAGGGAATTTTTAAACTACTTGTACCCTTTTATTTCTGCTAGGAATCAAGGTAGTGGGATTTTTTTTTTTTTTGGTTTGTTTGTTTTAATAGCAGCAGCTAGAAATATAGGCTCTAGAATAATCATATAACTGATATATCCAATTGGTTTACCAAAGCATTATGAAACATAGCTTATTATGCATACTCTGTAATTTTCTTGCATAAGTAAATTATTGTTATTTCCTTTAAGTACAGCTGGCATTCACATTTTTCTCCCTCCATAATTTAGAAATTTTGATCAACAGACAGGTAAATAGATGGTCTTTCGTGATAAGTTATAATTAAAGTACCAAATGCTTACTTATGTTAGGAAATAGATTGCCTTAAAATACACCTATGCATACCAGTTAAGTGGATCCACATGATTTCTATAACAGAAAGTACTTATAATGGAAAATTGCAATTCTGAACTATGGTGGAATACAAATACTAAATATCCAGCATTTGCTAGAATTATGCCACAATTTACAGAGATTCTCTGATTTACAAAATCATCACTTCATGCCCTCCCAAGACAGCATCAGTTAACATGATTGCCTAATTTCTCCTCGGTTATCTGCTTTAACTGTCAGAACATATGACTGGGCAATGGAAGATAAAATGACTCCTTTACCCGCACATGCTCCTTTCTCCCATAAATTTGTGATATGGGCTTCCAGGACACATGGGTTTTGGAATTCTATATAATATGTCAGTTTGTACCCAAGGATAGACTAAAGATCTGAAGTCAAACTAATCATTTGGAATGGAATGGAACTTCTAAAATAAAAAGAAAACTTTTCACCTTTACGTCATCATACTATGCTTTTTTTTTTTTACAAAGCAATAATGAATTTTTTTACAAAGCAATAATGAATCAAAGTCTTTGTAAACATTAGATATTAAATCTGAATCATAAAATCTTTAATATTTTAGAAAGGGGAATTTAGTTATTGCTACTTTTGTTAATATAGATTAAAAAGGTCAAATGTTGGAAGTTTCGTAAGATTTATAATGACATGAAATCACAGTGTATTAAGAAATTTCCTTGAACACAATTATGTGCTAAATGTTCTACTAGACAAATATCTTTAGTATTGTAGAGCTTCACAAAACCTGTAAAATAGATCATATTAATTCCTACTCAGAAGAGAAAATGATATAATTTGACAAAGTTGCTACTAGGTTTTGGTTTTAAACCTGTTCTTTTTACTGCACTGTGCTGCATTCTTAGATGATTTCAGAGGTAATAGCTCTACTTTTCCCTACTTAGTCCATTAATTCTCTCTAAAATGTCCCTCAAATTTAGTCTGTTCGATAGACCAATGTTTAACCCTCTATTGAATACTTACTATCTAAGGTAGTCCTAAGTATTCCAATTTTGTATAGCTTTTTCATGAATTTTTATTCTTATGAATCAAAATTTGCCACACTATATATTTTCTACTTCTTCCTATTTTTGTGCTCTGGAATAATACAGAAAAAACTAATTGCTTATGCATACAGCAGTCTTTGAAATATGCACATTACCATGCTTCAACATCTCCAATTCTTTTTTCTTTAAAGATTTATTTATTTATACAAGAACTGGGGTACAGGCCAGAGACATGGGAGGGTGAGAGAATTCACCAGAGACAGAGCGGGGAGCAGAACTGGCAGAGGGACCGAAGACTCTGCTGAGGGGAGCAGCAGGTGAGACAGGAGAGGTCCGCCGCACCATGTGGGTATCTCCCTGGCCGGCCAGGAATCAAACCCACGCTACAGAGGCTGCGGACAGTTCCACAGCACTGCGCTCAACTCACTGTACCACCGGGGAGGCCCCAACATCTCTAATTCTTAAAAATTCGTGTATTGCAGAAATCATTGATTGTCCAATTATGGTCTGTAAAATAATAAAACATGTGACAATGATGTCTGTTTATTAACTGGAGAATATGGTTTCAGTTACCTGTTTTTCTGGATGGGTGTTGTTTATAAGAAAGCGATTAATGAGAAAGATATTCATGCAAGTCAGGATTGGGCTTGTATGCATTTACTTTTTTTTTTAATTAAGAAGAAGTGCAAATGTGCATGTAAGGTATTCCTAAACGTTGCCAAGTTTGGTACTTTGGAATAGGATTTGTTGAGACATCAAATAAATGTACGAGATGAGAATAAGAACAGAAAATGCATAACTTATATGATACAGCATGAACAATGTCATTGTAATAAAGCTTTCAAGACTTGTTTCATAGTAGGGCATTTGGTAAAAGTAGGTCTGGCCTTCTATCCAGTAGAGAAAGCTAAACGCAGTTCAACTGTCTTTGTGATATGCCAAGGGAAGTGACCTAAGGTGAGTTTAGATAGATTTTTTTGTACTGTGGCTAACTGTCAGGGACTTGGAAAGGAAAGGACTGGAAAAGTAGGGCATGTGTAAGAAGAGGCATGTGAATGGACATGTAAGAGTGGGCAAAAGTGTGACATTTTCATATTTGTGTTAATGGCCACCAGAAAGCATCTGACATCATGTCAAGAAGCATTGAACAAACAAGTCAGCAAAATGACTTGCCCAGTTGATACTAAGCATTCTTTGTCATTGGCCACTCCAGAATCAGGAGGCAGATATGTGAATAGAGTAGCCCAGTGATGGAGACTGTGCGTGATGCCACCAACATGAACTCCTATTTAAGAGGCCAGTATTACTGTTGCTGTCTCTGATTTTCAATACTGAGCCTTCAGAGTGATGCTGTTCCTCAAGGAGGCCAACTGTCCACTTCACAAGAAGTTGGCTACATTGAGCCTTTTCTATCCTAGAAAGGCCAGTGGTTCATTGTCACAGGGATAAATACCTATTCCAAATACAGGTGTTTTACTTTTTGCTTACAGAATCTGGACAAATACTGCTATTTGGAGGACTTGTGGAATGCCTTGAGCCACAGCCTGAAAGCATACATGCTATGAAAGACATAGTTTCCAACCAGGTGGAACCACTTCAAAGCATGACTGTGGGATACACTGAACTTTTGATATACCATCTTGTCCAGAAGCAGCCAGCCTCAGAGGGTGCTGCAACATTCTTCTCGATAGAGTTGACATTTTGGTGCAAAAGCAATCCCTCTACAAATATATCGTTTTTAGGATGAAGTTTATGCATTAAACCAGAAACTCCTGCATAGTGCTGTGTTCCCAACAGGGTGTGGAAACCAAAGACTGAAAGCAAGATTGCCTTACCATCGCTCTAAATGACACACTGGAAGATTTTGTGCTTTCCACAATTATAAACTCACAAGGTTAGAGGTATACTGACCTCCAAAGAGAGACCACTCTTCTCAGGGAACAAAGAAGGGGTCCTCTTGAATTATAAGCTATGGCTGCTACCAGGGCACTTGGGTCTTGTGGTCCCTGGCTGGAGCAGACCAGAAGAGTGAACACACTGGCTGGGCCTCTTGCCTTGATCAACAAGAGGAGGCAGAGCTGTTTTTTACACCATAGAGTCAGGGAGGAATATGTGTGGATCTGAAATGATCCATTTGGACACTTCCCCATACCTCCTTGCCCCACTGTAATGGTTAACAGACAGGTACAGCACAGTGTTCTGAGAAACATGATTGCCAAAGGCTGATACACCTCAGAAATAAAGATTCAGGTAGCATCCTTGGATAAGGCACTTGGACATCTGGAGGTGGCAGCTGAAAGCGATGGGAATTTAGAATGCATAGCACAAGAGTAAGGGGATAAGTACCATTTAAAGCTCTGGGACCAACTTCAGTAATAACATGCCATTCACCCTGTTAATTTCCCTATAAGTTTTCCCTCATGAAGCAGGGTACAGGGAAACCATGGAGGAAGTTTTCCCAAAATGAGAATAGAGCAGATCTGTAGAGTGCATAGGATGGGCAGTGGCACCACAGAACTCCTGACTGATGTCCCTGTTCTTGTTTCTCTGTATCCATTACTGTGTTCACACTAAGGCCACACCTCCTGCAGGATGCTCTAGGCCAATGTGTCCGGGCAGTGTACTATTCCCACCCATCCTACTGGACACAGAATTCCTATGACATTCCTATGCCCCAAGTCCTCAAATGTGGGTAAAACTTCCCTAGAACTGCATCGAAATTTGAGGCTCTTTCTCCTCCTCTCTTTCACAGGTGTAAGACCTAAATGATAGTGTATGTGCTCTCTGCACCTTCTCCTGCTCCCTCTCCATTATCTTAGGTTTTTCATTGTGTAACTCTCTTGCATGTCTAGTCTCATCTTGGTGACTGCTTCTCAGAAGGCCTAAACTAACATGGGAATCAAATCCATTGCAGCATCTCTTACCATCCTCTCTGCTCAGAAATGGGGAGCAGCATAATGTTTTCCAAAATGTTACCTGCTCTGCCTCTTTCCAGATATGGTTGTGATAGGAACCATAAGCTCCTTCTCCAAAGGATCTCTTCCACAAACCCATCCTCCACTTCATATCCTCCTAACCCAAGGAAATTGCGTATGGAAGATGGAAAATAAGATGAAATAGTTAATATGGTTTTACATCTGACTTTGAGGCCCAAGTTCATTTATTTCATATCTAAAATCTGTGGCAGCTTGCTGCTCCTCTTCTATCATTCTGCTTATAGGACATCAACAAACATTTCTTGAGTAAATCCTTGTATTTCCTTCACATAGCACCAATTAAGGGCTCAAAATACTTGTGGTGGTAGATGCCAGATGCTTCACTTACTTCATTTTTCCTCATAAGAGAACCTCACCAACAGACTCCCACATTGCACTTAGGCTATGTGCACCCAGTTTATTTTCCCATTTTGCACTGTCAGAGCTACACCCTGTGCTTTTCCTCATTTGCCCTTTTCAACATGTAAAGCATTTGGTGTGCAGAATCAGCAGAATGCTTAGATCCTGGTTCTAACACTTATTCTGAAAACATAGCTCATTTATCCTGAGCCTCGGTGTCTTCATTACTAAATGAAAATGATACCTTACTCAGGTGGTTGCTATAAGTATTAAATAAAACAAACTATAAATTATAAAAGGAGCACAAATGTCAGTGATCATTGGTTTTTGCTTTTCTCTCCTATTCAAACCATCCTAAACCACAAACTATTCCTTCAGAAACTTTTCCCAAGATGACTAGATGGTGATAAATCTTCTCTATTCTTTGTTCTCCACTTTACATATATGAACTTATTCTTGTTTGCTATGTAATGTGTAAGCAATATATTGCATACCTCTCTGGAAGCTTCCAAAAGTGCTTCATATTCTCATTTTGTTTTCTGTCTGAATTAATGTTTTCTCTCATATTTTATCATGAAACACATAAATATACAAAACCCTGAAAACAACTTTTTGTTACATCTTTCTCAGTGATATGTACAATTAAACACATAATGCATGCTTAAAATGATAATTGTGATAAGTAGTACTAATAGAAATATATTCACTGCCCCTCTTTGCTGGCTTCCTTTTAGGTCACTTTTGAGCAGGAGCTTTAAGAACTATTATGTGGTCTACCATTGCCCTTTTCTCCCTTGACATAAGAAAGCCAGTATTCCAAGTAGGAGCTGCTTCTTCAGCCTCAATATCTAGTATGAGAACCAAGCCATGTGTGAAATAATATAAAGGGAAAAAGGAATGCAGGGTGTACCAAAATCAGACGTGTCTAATATTTTATCACGGAACAATTCTCTTCCATTAAGACCCCAGGAATTGTCAGTTTACTATTGTGGAATACTAAACAGAAATGTGAGAGCATTCTTATATTTTGCTTTCCTTCTACTTTAAAAAAAATAAAATATGGGGCCTCCCCGGTGGCGCAGCAGTTGAGCGCTGGGTTGCGAAGCTGCCCACAGCCTCTGCAGCGCTGGTTCAATCCCTGGCTGCTCCCTGGCCACCGGAGGAGGGTCCCACATGGCGGGCAGACCTCTCCTGCCGCCCGCTGCTCCCCTCAGCAGTGTACTTCGGTCCGTCTGCCTGCTCTGCTCCCCGCTCTGGCTCTGGTGAATTCTCTCACCCTCCCGCGCTTCTGACTGTACCCAGGGCTTGTATGAATAAATAAATAAATCTAAAAAAAATTAAAAAATTAAAATAAAATAAAATATGTTTGTATTTTCCATTATACAACAGTTCTATACCAAATGAAACTGGAATGAAACATAACATATGGATGAAAAAAGAAAGTTTCATTTGTTGCCAAATATCTTATCTACAGAACATCTGGATTTTTAGAGCATCTGCACAACTGACAGTCTCTCGACTTTTCATCTCAATGTTTGGTAAATACAGAGAAAATATTTCCTTTCTAAATCTAATTCTTTTTCGCAGGCAGCGCTATCCTAATAGCATATTTGTTAATATCCTTATCACCCTACTATTTGGTCAAATAGAATATGGATACAATTTTAGAGCAAACTAAATAGTTTAATGTTATGGCACATGCCTACATACAAGCTCTGACAGTTAGAAAGGAAAATTCTTGGTGAATTCGTTCTCTATAGCAATCAATCTATTTCAACAGAGACTAACAATAGAATATATCAAAGCACTTACTCCACATTCAGTGGTCTCTATTGTGTTTGTCCTTTATGTGAGATGAGAGGATTCTATTCTTTGACCAGATGCTAATATAGTCCTATAACATCTGCATGAATGTCTGCTTGGCACTTAGGGTAAGGGGGGAAATTTGATTGTACTCTTGAGGTTATGGAACATGGAGACAAGCATCATAATCATCCCTTGCAAAAACTCCAAGGGGCTTAGTTACATGTTTTTCCCTTGTCAACATCTGTCAAGAACCACATGTCAATTACTACTCCATCTTTTCTCAGGTAATAAAGGAACAGAGAACTCCCAAATGAACAGTCTTTATCTTCCCAACAATATGCCCCAGGCCTTTGTGTTTGGATCTAGCCCTCATGAATTTTTGTCATTTTCTTCTTACAGAGATCTTGGCAAAGAAAGAGTCCTGAATGGGAGAAAAGGGTGTTACTTCTAGTACAGCAAACCATATATGAGTGTCTTTGTTCAGGAGATCTAATAGAAAAAAAAAGACAGGGGAATTTTAATTCAACTATTTCCCTTTCCCTGGAGCCACCTCCATGTTTTATTGAAAACATCACTGAACAGCTGATTTCTATTCAGTCTCATTCTGTATGACTGATTTTCTTTTCTTTTGCATTAGTTGCCCTCTACCTGTGTGTGTGTGTTTTACCTAGACAAAAAACCCTACCCTATAAAATAGTGACTAGGTAAGTGATGATACTGCACTGTCTAGCCAGGAGTATAATGCCTAGAATGAAACATAAAGCCACCTATGCTTCAAAAGTACTCCTAGAACCAAGAAATGTTTAATGTGTGATCTAGGCAATTAGTTAGTCTTCCTTCTAAGACACAGCTCACAAAAATGAACAGAGATCTTATCTTAACAGAATATTTTCATAGGCTTCCTCATTCATTTGACAATGAATCACTTGGCACATCATCATTTTCCTTGAATTCCAAATGGACCATTTGTCATGACTTTCAGACTAGAATCAGCAGAAAGATTCCATATTTCAGGTTGGAAAGCATTTGAAAATAGCTAAGCACAAATGAAGAGAACTTGTAAGTTGTCAGTGTGTTGCCAATGTTTCTCTGGTAAGAAGGGGTTGAAAATAGCTATTTACCAAATTTTGCAGGTGGTTCACTTGAGGTTCTGTGTTCTGTTGTGAGTATTCTAGGTTTTTTTTTTTTTCTTACACCTAAATTTTAAAAGTTATGGTTATTCTATAGTCGGGCTTCAAAATTCTCGGAATTTTTTTCTGCGGAGCATAGTCTTGGGTGCTAAAACCACGAAGACCCAGATCTTGCCTTCAGGAGTTTAGTTGGATGACAGAGCCAGACACTTACACAAAGAATACTATGCAATTAACTAAAGATGGTTACACATACTTTGCTGCTACTCCCACCAAAGGGTGAAGTCTCCCTCCTCACTCCCTTAACATAGGCTGGTCTCATGACTAATTTAATCAATAGACTGCAACAGAAGTAATGCTTAGCTACTTCTGTATCTAGGCCTTAAGAGGGCTTGGAGCTTCCACTTTCTCCCTTTTGGAAAATAACTCCCCTGTGGCAAGGAGTCCAGATTATCCCTCTTAAAATAGGCTATCCTGGAATTGGATAGCCTGGAATTGAAAATTGGAGGAATTGGAGCAATCCTGGAATAGAAAAAAACATGGAGCGTAAGATCACATGAACAAGAATTGAAGAGTCACAGCTGACAATACCAGAGCCCAAAGGTTATGTAACCTTGGACCTACTAGTCAACCCAGCCTGCAGTTGGGTGCAGTTTCTTCCATAATTCCAGCTAATACCAAGTAGAATAGAAAGACCATCCATCCAGTCAGCCTAAAAAGTAATGAAAAATAATAAGTTATTCTTGTTTTTCCTGAGTTTGGGGAGTATTTGTTGTACATCATTAGTTCACTGGTACTGCTTACAAAAAAAAATATATATATATATAAACATTTTTCAAGAGTCATGTTGAAGCATAAAATGCAAAGAATAATGAATTAATAAATGAGTAGAAGTCACAGGAGGCTATAATAAAGTCTAACAGTTTTGAGAGGAAAACCTATGTATGAATCTTTACCCCACTGCTTACTAGCTTTATAATCTTGGACAAGTCGGGACCTTTCTTGAAATTCAGTTTCTTAATCTATAAAATGGAAATAATAATTCCTACTTCACAGAAATATAGTAAAGGTAAATAAATTTAATACTATTTACAAAGCTCTTAGCACAGCTCTTCGCAGAGATTAAGACTCAGTGCCAGCTATCATTCTTATAAAGTAATCATAGAAGAGCTTTCTGGAGAAGATGGATTTTGATTTGCATAAATATTAATTTTTAGATTTTATTTTGTAGTAATGAGATAGATTTAATTCATTTATCCCTGAATCTCCATGTATGATTCAGTTTTCTCTTTTCTCCTACTAGATTATAAATTTATATTGATTTGTATTAAGAAAGGTGACATAGTCACTTTGCAAAAAAGTGTCTTAGGCAGTGATATATTTCAAACCCATGTCCTTTCTGCTTGTGCATATAGTTAAATGTAGGTATGGCCATGAGACTGAATTCTGGCTGGTAGAATGTGGGCCAGAATGATAAATACTACCCTGGGCCTGAACCACAAATACCTCCCACCTCCAATACTCCCCAAGATTTCCTTTTCCAGTTTGTTTGGAACAGAAGTTCCTGTGAGGTGAGCTAGGGGATCTCTGTATTAAAATAGTGCATCTTTAAGGTGAAAGGAGCTTAGAGCCAAAACATCTTAGTAGAGAGCTATTCATACAGGAACTGCTTCACTGTGAAATAAGCAAGAAATACTTTTGTGTTGAGCCTCTGATAGTTCAGCATTTATGTAGTATAGTGGCTAGTATTATCATAACTAATGATTTTAATAGTATTCTGACAATTATTCAGAATTAATAATTCTGAAAATTATTATTTTACTCCCCCATTCTTTTTTCCACAGAAGTAAACTTACCTTTCACTTCATTCATTATCTCTGCCCTCACTTCTGTGCATTCTCTCTGTACTTTGCCTCTACCAAGGCCACCAAGTTATTTACCTCTCCAAGAGTTACAAAGCTTCTTCCCAAGCTTCTCCCAACTAGAGAGAAATAGGAACTTTCTTTTCCCCTCCTTTATTGCCATTTCCATTTCATTTTCTAAAATACAAACTAATACTCATAGCAGAGTCTCTGAGATAGGTGATGTTAAATTTTCTGTAAAACTGGATTATTTTTAGGTGCTTAAAGTAATGAAAATTTAAAACAGTTGATTACTGATTGAATACAAGATACTATGTACTTTATATAGATAAAATTATTTAGTCCTCATAACAAAACTGTGCAATAGATATCATTATTATCTCCATTATACAGATGACAAAACCCAGACTAAGAATAAGCTACCAAAGTCACACATAGAAAAGCCAGAATATCTGAAACCAGAACCTGCATATTTACTTATATCTTTTATGGCTTCTCAGCATGTGATCATAGACATTATTTTCTATTAAAGTGTGCTGCATGAATTAAACAGAAAATAGATAGTTTATGGAAAAAATAATCTGAAATGCTTGTTTTGAGACCAAAAGCCATTAACAGTATTCAGTTAAACATGAGATATTAGCGTACAGTCATTAATTGCATTATTTTCCATAATCTCTTAGACAGGAATTGTCACTCAGTAATTTGTAACATCCTCTTGTCCATAGGGTCAGGTGCTCTGCTTTGGAGAAAAAAAAAAGTGAACAACCAGTCCTGGTGGTCAGTTTGCCCTTTTCAGTGTGATGAGTTACTGAATTCTTGTTTGCTTTTTCAGCTGAAAGCTTTCTTACAATGCTAACAATGTTACGGTGATATTTTTGGAGGGAAAAATCTCTCAAAAGCATCATCATAAGGAGCACCATGCATTAAATAATTATTATATGCCAAGAACTATGCTAATTACAGTAGCCCTATAATTGGAATTCTTATCCCCTTTTTAAATATGAAAAAAATTAAGGCAAAGATGCCAAGTTATTTACCACAATCACACAGCAAGGAAGTAGCAAAGCCTAGCTTTGAGCTCTGTCTGGTGCCAGAGCCTGCCTTCCCAACTATATAACACAAAGCGCGATCTTCAGACACCTGATCTATGGATGACCCCTGGGTCAATATATGGCAGCCTGAAATTGATCATCAAGCTGTGAATGGGTCTTGGTCTCTCCTGTTTGGAGAGGGCAGCATTCTGGGTTATACTTCAAATAAGAAACCTCAAATTTGATGGCAGGAAGTTAAAAGTATGCAACTCTCAAAATAATGTACATGTATTTTATTATAGCTTTTTTCAAAAAGCAGTTATTTTAAGGGCACAACACTGAGATGGGTATATTGGAATTGATCTTTATACTCCCTACAGACACACACATAGGGAACAACTTCGTAAGTATTACTTGCTAGCAGATTGCCTTTACCTGGGAGAGAATCACTCAAATTCTAGAATATAGGCATACCATTCATGAACTATTTTCCTACATGTATCCAGTAAGGGACATTTGGGCAAAAAAGAGTCCCTCTAGATGGGGCTAGGAAGGAGTGTACATGTTCCTCAGGCTTTTTTTTTAAGATTTATTTATTTATGCATACAAGAACGGGGGTACAGGCCAGAGGTGTGAGGGGGTGTGTAAGAGGATTCACCAGAGACAGAGCAGGGAACAGAACAGGCAGACTGACTGAAATACACTGCTGAGGGGAGCAGCGGGTGAGTCAGGAGAGGTCTGCTGTGCCATGTGGGTTGCTCCCTGCCCAGGGATTGAACTCGTGCTGCAGTGGCTGTGGATAGCTTCATAGGTTGTGTCTTAACCCCTTGCGCCACCAGGGAGGCCCTCCTCAGGCTTTTTAGGACCTAAAGAGCACAAATCAAAATCTCAAAGGAAGTATGTATATGGTTTATATAGGTCAATGTACATTTCTTTTTTCAAATAGAGATATGGAACTTTGTCTTTATTAGAGACATTTGCCAATATCTTCCTTTGTCTTTGGTCTAGGTCTTTGGAAGATTGAATAACCAATTTCATGGTTATTTCTGGCACCCCAGGACCCCAGCGATTGTAGTGAAGTTATCATTATATCTAATTGGTTTAGAAAAATTGTCAACAAAACATATATTTTGGAATATTGTTGATAGAGGAATTATTCATTTTCAAATATAGGCAATCATTCTAGATGTAATTTGGAGCCAGATCACTTTATGGGTTTTTGTTATTGTTGCAATTCTTTCATCCAATGAAAGAATCAATGTGCAGGTGTTTTTGCCTTTCTGCAACATATGTTTTCCTGAAAGAAGAAAAAACAACTCAAATCTATAAAATCACATACTAAAAATAGTAGGGTTTGTGGGCAAAATAGCATCGGGATCAAACCATTCAAAATGCATGTAGTTTCCACTTAAAACATGAAAGGTTCTAACTGGTGCTAACAAAACGCTATTATTTCTAAGAAAAAATACAGCATAATTTAGAAAGCTATTACATAAATTCTACTGCACAAATAGGACTTTGCATTAGAAAAAAAATAAAGCTAACCGGAAGCACTGGGGCAACTGAGAGCAAAGCACACAAGATTAGGAAGAACCATTCTTTATGGTTCTCTAACCATTCTTTAGAGAGGGCTTGAGGCTAAATGGAGCCAAAAGAATCATAGCTAAACTGGCCCGGGACAGCCCTGTCTGAGATGTGTAGCCATTTTAGGGCACTTTGCATTCAGCTGCTATTTGCACAGTGAGACAAGACATTAACTTGCTGGGAAAAATCACACATGAACCAGTGTGTCTTCACAATGACATCATTCCTTGATCCCTGTTACACAAGAGCGTATTCACATTGCAGAAACATGTATTAAAGCAGGACAAACTGTGAGAGGAAGTACAACAATATGATTCTGGAAGATACTGTGTTCAAAAACTGATTAAAAACTTTTCACAGTTAAAGTGGAAACTGGATTATTATTAGTCTGACTTTTAATAGAGAATGAGTTAGCTAGTTAACTTTGTCAAGTATGTTATATCAAATTTAAGCCTGTTAATGTTTAAAGAAATGTAATCACTACTATAAAGTAAAATTAGTGACACATGAAGAAAAATCTTAACAAAAATCATTTACCCCAGAATATCTTGCTCTCCTGCCAGCTTCAGTCCAAAGTCATTATACATTTAGAATCAAAATGCAATAGTGCTGCTGAGATACTGTTTCTGCACTATTTAGTCAAACTTTTGAACTTTGGCCAGTAAAATTTTATAGTACATTTTTATGGGAAAAGATGAATAGGACTTCAAAACTATTCCCAAGTTTCTGTTATAAGAGTGATTTTTAGCTGTGACCTTAGTTCTGACTTAACATCGATTTTAACACTCAGCCATATAACCTATTTTATTTACTTCTATCCTTAATAGAAAAATTATTAGTATGATTTTTGAATAATTTCTTATGAATAATGAAACAATTTTAATTACTTTAAAGTTATGTTATCTAATATGGTAGCCACTAGCCACATATAGTTATTTAAATTAAAGTTAAGTAAAAATGCAACTTCTCAGTCACACCCACCACGTTTCAAGTGACAAGTGTATTGGACAGTGAAGATATAGAATATTTCATTATCAGAGAAAGTTCAACAGTAAAGCAGTAACTCTATTGACCTTCACAGCTCTGCCAAATTTCTGAAAAAACACACAATAAATCCATGGATCTGTGCTGTCATTAGAAAGTGTTAGTATACCTTCTGTACCTTCAGCCTCTTTTTCCCCTTCCTTTGCAGTGGTAAATGGTGAGATTGTTCTTCCTTCGTTTTGCCTTGGGTGCTGGGGAGAGAGTTCACCCAGGTACCCTTGGCCACAGTGGACCAACTTTTGCAAAATGCTGTCAGTGACCTGTTATTTCCTCGGCCCCAGTCATCTTCCAACTGCATCCCTATTTGTTTGCCCAAGGTAATTTTCTGAAGCTGTTGTGATATTCTGGCACTAATGCCAGGAAATTAACACAAAGTAAAAGATATCTTCAACCAATAGTTGATTGAAGGTGGAGTAAATATACTGTAGTTTCCCCTCTATTTTGTAGCATTGTCTGGAATGGCACAAGGTGGTAGCTTTTTGGAAAGTACGCTCTCTATTGATGATCTTTCCTCTCCTTTTTCAAATTTCATGTGAGTTTCCTTGTATTTCCAAATTAAAGTGTGCACTCAAATCTTTATCTCTGGTTCTCTTTTGGGAAACCCCAAATAAAACATACCCCAATGGAGAGGTGAGATAGGGTGATCAAAAAGGAGGTGGCATAACGATAATAAAGACAACTAACCTTTATATACAATCAGATTTTTAATCCCTCTACAACAAGAATTGATTGTATGTTATTATTCCCAATGTCTAACACACGTAATATGCTTAATAATATTGTAGGTTATGGTGATTCACACTTTTTTAATATCTCGACAATCCTTATCAATAGCTATACTGCCATTTTTTTAGTTGAGTAAATTAAAGATCAAATCACTTAAATGAATTGCCCCAAGTTACATAGTAAGTGATTGTGCTCAGCTTTGTAAGGGTCTTCAGAATCCATCCTATGCTTATTTTTTTCACTGATCCCAGTGATCCCATGGTCTTGCTTATAGGACTCTTAGTGGACCTCAACTAGGGATACTTCAGGTGAGCATTGCAATGCCATGCTCTGTGTATCAACTTCTGCCTGATTGAATACAATGAAGAATGTTATTTATTTCTGTCTCTGATTAGTGTGGTAGTATGTATTATTGGTCTCATACAATGGTTTCTATCTTTAAGGACCCTGCATATTTCTTTATCTCTAAATTTCATCTTAGAAAAAATATGAAGACAACAGTAAAATGCTTGGCTTCCCACTCTGTCATCTCTGTGAGTCACAGTCTCTCCTGGATTCATCTTCCTAAGTCTCACTGACCTATATTATTGTACCCTGACCAAGATTCCCCACCCATGCAGCACCAAGACTCTGGAACTATTGAGAAGTGAGAGGTACTTCTATATTTCAGGGAATCACTTTAAGTTCTATGCCTATCCTTAATTCTACTACTTTCTCAATCTTTTGCTTCAACTATTAGTTTGTTCTTTGATTAGGGATACTTTCCCTTTAGGGAAATGTTTTCCCTTTAAGAGGCAGTATCAGGTTTTGGTCAAGCTGACTGCCTCTGGGAAGAAAATGCCCAGATTAGAATTTATTTCCATTGCTTTGTGAGAGTGAGATCTTGGGAAAATATTTTAAATTCTCATTTAAAAATGAACAGTGATGTAAAAAATAAAAAAAATAAAAATGAACCTTGGAATGAATAAATAAATAAATAAATAAATAATCTTAAAAAAACGTAAATTCTCTAAACTTCAGTTTCCTGAACCACGGAATACAAGTGGTGATGAAAGTAAAGAAAGAAAATAGTATCCATAGGTTGTTTTGAAGATCAAATGAAATAATCCGTGCAAATTACCTGGCACATTACAAACACATAATCACTATTTAGATACCATTATTGGCCACACATTCTGTATGTAACACTTTCCCCTTCACTCCCATAAGCCCGATTTGGATTCCAGGAAACCCAGATCCATCACTGATGGGGTGGTCTGTGCCCATATTTATCTAGAAATAGAATTTAGATTACTGTGTTACTTTTTTCAGGATTAATGGGGACTCTGGGAGTTACAATTCCTCAACTAAAAGGCATGCATTTTTCATGAGAGTAGTCTAGGGAGAAAGCCCATTTGTGACCAGGATGCCGCAAGATGGTAGAAACCATTTGCCTCCATGTAAAAGCCAAACCTGTTTATCTATCAGTTATTCACAAGACTGTGCTAAATGCTCTGTGTAGGTTAAACAGCACATTCTGTACATGAAGGCAGCAGATACATCCTGATAAACATATACATGCGCATGTGTTCATATCCAAAGTCTGCAAAAAGGAAGGGCAGAGCTTGTTCAAATAGAATAATTAAAGACTGAAAGGATGTTTTAAATAAAAGTCATCTAGTGAGCTATATGGTTAGCTATATTCTTATTTGCAATATTTTTATGTTTAAATTGACTAGCATATCAATCTATGAGACTGTGATCTGAACCAAAATTTTGAGTGCAGTCTGACAAACAATTTTTTTTCTAATTCTAATATTCATGCATCTGTAAAGTGTTAAAAAAAATACCTAAGAATTCCATTCCAATTGGTTATATATCTAATGAAGTGCCTAGTAAAGAATGTAAGTATAAGAAATTGGAAAAACGCTGCAAATCCCAGAACCACAGCAGCAAACCTCAAGTGATGCTGCCTTAATTTCCTTTTCCAGGCTTTTGTGCAGCAAAGCTCATTTTCTAGCTCACAGACACTTTCAAAATAGAATGACTTCTAAGGAAAATATACTTTCCCTTATATGCTGTCATAAACTGTAGATCTCAGGAGGACCAAGGAATTGGTCACACAATTGGAGTTGATAGGAATAATTTTTTTTCAGCATCTTATTACCAATCAAGATGGAGTCACACTTAACTCCTTAGAAAATTGTTCCCTGCGAGAAGCTTGCCTCTCGGTCTGGTTGCTTGACATCCTATTAACAAGCTGTCCTGAAGATGGCGCCACGTACTTAGCTATGTTACAACTTGCGTCACCTCCTGATTCCTTCTGAAACCACCAAGCCCCTAAGAGCTACACAGACTTACCGAAGGATCTCTAAGAAATACTTTCTTGAAAGGATAATGCTATATTAAAGTATAAAGATTAAGCTAATTCATTCAAGGGATAACTTGATTAGATCATTTCTTTTTTTTTTCTAGTTAGGAGAAGAAATTACAAGGAAAAAATACCATAAATGCCATTTGAGTTAGGTAAGGGACACGTTTCTGAAGGCCAAAGTCTGCTTCTGACCTTGTTTCTTCACCTTTGTTCCTTACTTCAGCCAGTGGTACTACCATCCACCAAGTTGCTAGAGCCAGAATCTTGAATCACATATTTGGTCCTTCTCTCTGCTTTAAATTTCTCTACTAGCAACCCCACAGCCATTCACCTCATCCTATCTGTTTTAGTCTTTAAATCTCTTTCTGGTGTGTACATATTTCTCCACTCCCTCTGCTACCTGTAAAGTCCAAAGCACCCTCCCCTCCTCTCTTCATCACTGTTTAACTTTCCCCTTTACCACAGCTGGTCCCCCTTGATTTGCTCTCCACTCTACATTAGGATGATCCTTCAAAAAACAGACCAAATCATTCACTGTCCCTGTTTATAATCTCCCATGACTCCCTAGTGTTCTCAGATAAAGTTTGAACTCTTACATAGCTTTACAACTTTTTTTTTAATCTAACTTTTTTATCTTCCAGAAGTTCCATACTTCTCCAGCTTCATTTTGTAATATATTCCTCTTGGTCTTCTGCCTTAGCCATAATAAATTCCTTTTCAATTCCTGGTATATTCATCTCAGAACTATTTATACTTATTGCTCCTACTTGTGGTCCCAGTAAGAGTTGCAACTCAACCCTCCCTCCATACCCTGAGCCATCACCACCTCCCTCAAGCTGAAACCATGCTCACCCTGTAGGTTTCAACATAATCACCATTTCCATGTGGAACTCTTTCCCTCGAGTACATTGGCACCCAACATGGTCATATGGTTGCATCCTGCTTGTACTGTCCTAATTTTAATTATCTCATTTTTTTCATAATTTCTTAAGTATTTTTTCCCTGCTAGGTTATAAACCTTATGAAAGCAGGGGCCGGGTCACCTTATTCAGCAGTCTTCCAATGACTTATAAGGCCTTCCCTCTCTTGCCTGCCTATAATTTTCCCTCACTTCTTGGCCTGAAATTCCTTGTTAGAAATATAAAGTAAAATTGTGACTGAAAGATGAGAATTTAAAATGAAAAATATTTTCAGAGATTCTGCTTTTTAAAAAGCCTTAATTGGGACTCCATGGTGGCGCAAGGGGTTAAGCATATAACTGTGAAGCTACCCGCAGCCTCTGCAGCACGAGTTCCATCCCTGGCCCCACCAGGAAACTACTTACATGGCGCAGCAGACATCTCCTGTCTCACCCGCTGCTCCCCTCAGCAATGTGTTTCAGCCAATCTGCCTGTTCTGCTCCCCACTCTATCGCTGGTGAATCCCCTCTCCACTCCTCCCTCTGGCCTACAACCCCATTCTTGTATGCATAAATAGATAAATCTTTAAAAAAAAAACCTAAATAATAAAATTAGGACTATATTTGGTCTTGGACCTATTTGGTCTTAGAGAAAATTATCTTATAATTTGACCGGAAAAAGGTTATTCTTTATGAGTCCCAGTCTTGATTCAAGGGCAAATTGATTGGAAGGGAGGAGTAAATCCTGGAAAAAGTTGCCTTCCTGATCCCATGTTGGAAAACCTCTCCCTTACACACTATTTTTTTTCCCCAAAAGCCATGGAAGAAGGTAAAATAAAACATTCTGATCTACTGCCACAATGTGAAATCCAAAAATGTGAACAAATAACAGTTGATTTTCTCAAAATATGTTCTATTGAATGCTTCTGTCTGGTCAAACATATTGGGAATTTCTGGGTCAAACAAAGTTAACTACGTCTTGCTTCTGTTGGGAGAAGCAATCTGCTCTGGTCTCTGAGCGTCCCTGTGCATTTTGCTGGCTGTGCTGATATTGCAAGACCCTGGACACTTTTATGGGCCATTTCTGGTTGTGTTTCAGTGAGCAAGCTTGCAGCAGGCAACTTTCAGGAATGAGGCAGTGTTTCTCAGGAGCAAGAACAAACTAGCTAGAAAAGATGTGGGATTCCCCAAGCCAGGAAGTGAATTCCTTGATTCTAGAAAGACTTGCTTTCCCAGAAGCATCTCTTTTTATGGCCAGCTATGGTAAAATGCATTCTTTCCAGAAATCTCCCATTAAAACACAAGCATGTTCCTTAGAGGTGTGATACATGAAGACATTA